AGTGAAAATTTAAAACCTAAGGAAATGAGAAATATACTGTTCTTATGGATTGGACAACTCAATATTTATGATATCAATTTTCTCCAAATCTATTTATAGAGCTAATGCTGTCTATTAAAAAATCCTAACAAATTCTTTTGTGGAAAACTGAAACGTTGATTCTAAAAGTTATCTAGAAAAGCAACAATACTGAAATAGCTTAAATAATTTTGACATAAGTGAACAGTTATACTGTCAATCCCAAGATTGCTCTAGACACACAAAAATCAAGATGCTATGCTGTAGCAGTAAGGACAGATACAAATGCACAGGAAATAAAATCAAGTCCGCACACCAGACAGCTCCTCCTGACTTTACAGAGGTACTGACAGAGAAGGCAAAGGGTTATCCAGAGTGAAAACATGAACCTCAACCCAAAGTTGTCACACACAGTAAAAGAACTTTAAAAAATTAAATCATAGACCTAAGTGAGTAAGCTAAATTTATAATGTTTATAGAGGAAAACATGGAGAAAGTGTGTGTAACTTTGAGTTAAGCAAAGATTTAATAGATAGTACACACAAAAAAAACAAAAGAAAAAATAGTTAAATTTGATTTAAAGTTAAAGCTTTTGGTCTTGAAAAAGATAGTTCAATCAGTGCTCTGTGTGGGGAAATAATGAGTTGTATGCAAGTATGAAAAATGAGAGCAAATTTAAAAAAATAGTTTAAAAAATGGGATTTCTAAGCTCTATCCACAATAAAGTCTTACAATGCAATAAGAAGGTAATTGATTTTAAATGGACAAAAGATTTGACTATAAAATAATACTTTATCTACAAACAGCAGCTAAGCATAATAAGATGCTGTTATATGTAACTGAGGAAATAACAGGAAAAGCATGGGCACCTATTAGCTTGACTAACACAATGACAACCAGGACTTGGAGCTACTGCAACTCATGTGTTGGTGGGAATGTAGATGCTGAAATCACTTCACAAAAGAACTTGGAGACTTCTTAGAAAAATAAACAAGTGCTTACATGTGACCTAGAAATTGCAGCTGCCTCAGGGAAAAGAAGATGCATGTCCACATAAGATGTGTATTTGGCAGTAGCTGACAGTGAACTACCAGTCCCACAGTATGAATCTCAGCACATTGTGCCAACCAAAGCAAGCCGACACAAGAGACCAGATGTGGACCCTCCAGAGAAGAAACCACAGTTGTATGGCTGCTAGAAGTGAGTGCAGGGAATAGGAAGGGCACAAAGGGAGCTGTTTGGGGTGATGTAAACATCCTGCTACCACAATTGTCAAATGTGGTGACACAGGCACATATATTTGTGAATTCTACTTTACATATGTACAGCTTCATTGTATACATAGTCACTGAAATGAAAAAACGAGGCAGTAATTTTTCTCCTCTAAAGATATTATTCCCTTTGAAACTTCCTCTGTAGGAAACTACAGGTAAAATGGCTACACGATGCTGGGCAAGTCATCACTCCAAACAAACGTTTCCTGTCACAAGTAAAATGAGTACTGAATTATATGGCCTCACTTACTCACTTGTAAACACTTGTTAAGCCTTTAATGAGGGTAAGGATGATGTTAGGCTCTAAAGATGTAAAGCTGAAATGAGACCATTTCTGCCCTCGAGGAGTTACCATGAAGCCAAAAAGAAAGACAAGTTAAGACTGGCATGACTTGGGCTACTTTAGGGTATGAGGAGCAGTCTTCCTGATGGTTCAGCACCTGAGTTAGGTAAGAAGAGAAGAGAAAGCGTTCAAAAGGCCAAAGGTCAAAGACCCTGGTTAGTTATATCAGGTAGGCACGGAACACAGGCTTTATCCTTGTAAGGCCACAGTGTTGCCTTGACTGAAGGAAGTTTAGAAACTCTACACCAGTTTGTACAGTGTGTGCATGGGGCTTCTACCCCTGTGGGATCTCAAACCTCAATGGAAAGTAACCATAGAAGTTAGGACCCTTCAATTTGCAAAGAAAATCCTTGGGCTTATGTACAAAAGATCAAACAGAAGCCTACTGGGGGGGATGTTCTGAGGACCCACAAGACCATGAGCAGCTTTTCTCTCTCTTCATAGGACACCAGGACACCAAGTCTGGATCATAGTCTTTCTTTGTCACATTCAGTTTCCCTGAAAGGTTAAACCAGAGTCTCCTAACCAAGTGTCACTGGCTTTCACTGGCCATAGACTTTGGGTTGATCCCAAAGCTATTCCATGGCCAGTGGGATGCCACGTGCGACAGCTTGGCCAACCCAGAGAACTTGGGGGTAGGACTCAGTGTCACCTGAAACACACAGGGAAGAGGCAAACTGCAAGCAGAACTCAGAGGCTTTGTGGAAGAAGAGAGACTAGATACTTGTGTTTAAGAAAAATGTATCCCAACAATGTTGGAGTAACTGAAGAGATGCAAAAACATGTAGACAATCTCTTCTTGTAACTTGAACAGCTAGGAAGTTAATGACAGTTGCCTGAAGAATACCCATTGTTAGAAGCACCACACGAGTGGATGAAAAAGACAGAAATAATTCTAATGTGTAGGATCCAGCATATCTTGGCAACAGAAGATCTTTCTGAGTGGGTTCCTTTTACAGAGATAAAATGATCAGAACAGCCAGAACTGGCTGAAGATCATCATGCACTTGCTGATGGGAATGGCTCATCATGGGACAAGCAAATGTAAAGGCCAGGCTATGAGCAATTATTCCTGATTTGCTAATGAGTTGGGGGACTTGGTCTTTTAAGCAACAAGGAATCAAACTGTGTAAGCACAGAAATAACCCAAACTGATCAGCATTTAGAGAACTATAGAAGTAGAGACCTCTTAAGACACGAAGGAAGAAATTAAGTATGGGGATCAAGCTAAGCTTTGGAGTAGAGGGGAGAGAAGGTACAAGCTTATTGGTATCTCTGCTCCCTGTGGAGTGGGAGGAGAGTTCAGGCTGAGCAAAAAGCACTAGGCAGTCAAGTCGTGCATTGCAGTTAGCCAGGAAACTGCAGTATCAAAGCATTCTGATCCAAAGATGGTCAGACAGGCTCTTCCAGACATAAAGCCATGGTGCATCTTAGTGAACTGAGTCCACAAGAAACAAACACATCTTGCTGGTGAAGCTTCTTAACTATGTGTCCATGACCATTAGCACTGCACCATTAGTCTACCAGACTCCTGTGGTCACCAACCAAGCAGAATGGGAGTGTCAGTGGTTAATCAGAGATGGCACAGGAGAATGCCCATGCTTGGAAGCCAAGTGAGGCAGCAGGAAGAGGAACGGTTAGGGGTGGAGAGGGAAGACGACCTGATGGCTCTCTTTGCAGTGCTTACAGAAGCTAAGAGGAGCTTGATAGGGGTTTGCCATAGTGGCAGAGTGGGAAGTTGCCCACCAGCTTTGGTCTGGGACTAAGATTCAGAGAGCTACTGACTAGAATTAACTGTACTGAATGATAGCATCCATCATGTAATGATTGATTTCTCAATAGACATAGCCTCAAGCTGTCATGAAATACAACACACATGCCAGTGAAGTTGGGCATTCTTCACGTTACTGTCTAGCAGTTGACCTTAAATTGTCACATAAAAAACCATATTTAATTAATTTCAACATATTTAACTGATGTTTCACATTAAAAAATCATTCAAATGTATTTTCTCATGTGGCCCTTTACAATCTTGAAGGCAAACACAACAGAAATAATGTTTGTTACCGTCTGTCCAGTCTCCTTCTCAATTGTCAATAACAGAGATTTAATAATTCAGGAACTTGCAGTAAGAGCAGAAGTCTATAATTTAATGTATCAGACAGCTACAATGTCTCTAGTAAGTTTATATTTTTCTTTAAAAAGATGGGCATGTCTGCATACATCTACTAGTCATCTAAAACACAACCGCTTCCTAATATTTTTTTGTCACTGAAGTAAAGAGAGGAGACACTAGCCCTGGAATCTTGATTGTCCCTTCCATGGAGGTGCATCTGGACATGCACAATGGCAAACATATGACATGAATGTGTCACTTTCAAAAACAATAATGTGGGGATTTATTAAGAATCAATCACTAGGTGGTGGTGGTGGTGGTGGTGGTGTACGCCTTTAATCCCAGCACCAGGGAGGCAGAGGGAGGTGGATCTCTGTGAGTTTGATCTCTGGTCTACAGGGAGAGTTCCAGGAAAACCAGGACTGTTTCACAGAGAAACCCTATCTCATTCACTCCCCACAAAGACAGAATAAAATCTTCATTAAGACAGCAAATACCTGATGCATCAGAGAATTTAGATTTTTCAGTAAATTCTTCATATCTAATTTCATCACACTTGAAGTATTATGTTGAATTTTATACTTTTCCTAATATATGCTGTGAAAATAATACACTTGTAAGATACATTTGGATAAGACTTAATAAAATTTCAGATAAGGGGAGTATCAATCTATTGATTTATTTTTTATTAGAGTGATAAGCATCTTCAATTTTCGTCTAAAATCAGAAGACAATATTTTTTCACATCCTATTATTTCATATATGGATATAGCATTAAAGCACTATAAAACCAAACCTTTTGCTCATAATAAACACTAATCAAGATCTGATGCTGTGAACAATGGCTTCAGTTCTAGAATTGATGAACTGTTCTGCTCCAGAAGTCAATGTGAAAGGACCGAACTTTAGCAAAGCCAATGTGGTTTTCATTCTTCCTCCTTGGATTCTTCCAAGGAAACAGAGTCTGGCACCAGGCCTCAGCAGTGTCAAGGCTTCTATGTAAAAGATGGAAGGGTGGGGAGTGCAAAGAGTTCCCTCTGTACACTTCTGACTTCCCCAGAGTGAAGAAAAAATATTATAAGATAGAGGCAGGTGGGGTGGAACACACATGTAATCCCAGCACTTGGCAGATGGAGGCAGGAGGATCTGGAATTCATTCATCCTCTGCTACACAGTGAGTTTGAGAAGAGCCTGGGTTACATAAAACTGTCTCAAACAAACAACAAAATAGGGGACGGAGATATCTGTATAACTTTTCAGATAGAGATGTTTAATGGAGAAAGAAGATGGAAGGGATCTGAAAATTCATCATAAATTAAAAATTGATTAAAAAAATACCAAAGCACATTTGAAATCCCACTCAAACACATTATTATTTCCAAGCATTTTCATGTCCTATCCCATCATTGGCTTTAGTGAGGGGCAGTTTATAAAACGGAACTATTATCTATGAGAAGTTTACAAACTGACAAGAAGCTGTGTTACCTCTTGAAGTTTATTAGAGTGCCTTTAGTTCTTATTGCATATATGGTACGTGCCTGGTACAAGTTAGGAGTCTGTGCCTGTAGGATGCTTGGTTCAGCAGAAGAGATGTCAACTGCTTTTCTCTTGACAGTCATCAATCAGCATGCAAGCGCAGTATTTGGTGTGCAGGGCTATTGTCTCAAAAAGTGAAAGACTTCTTAGCTTTAACTGAGGAGGGAACATGATCTTTATTGGCTTATATGCAAAGTTTAATTTTGGTTGTATGCAGAGTTTGCATAGTTCATGATTAGTTTCTAATGAAAAACTAGATGTGTTGTCAGTGACCTCGAAGATCAGGTGACAGTAGCAAACAGAAAAATTTGAAGAAGAGGCATAACTTTTAAAGTAGAAAGGTCAGCCAGAACTGCCTGGAACAAAAAACCAAAAACAGAGTTATTAACACCAAAGTCTGTCAAAGGCACAACATAAACACCTGTTCAGTGCAAGCTTGGCAATAATCCCCTCTAAGTTCTTCAGCTGGCTTTAGTCTCTCCCAGAGCTACAATGCAACTTCCTCCTTGGAATCTCTGAACCTGTGCAAAAAAAAATCTCAAATGCACATAAGGAAATCAGCTGACCTCACACTTTCTTCACGTACACAAGGCAGCGGGAGTTTATAGAAGGTCTAGCATTTCAGCTTGCTTCTATAAATAACCCTCCACTATGACTCCTAGACCCGTTACTCTAGTGTAGAGAGTAACTGACTGTGGGGAATCATGTTGAGATGGAGTTAATATTTATTCAGTTGCAAGACATATAAACATCCTCTTCCCTTTAAACACAACATGTAGGCAGCTATTTGAAGGACAGGACTTACATCTGTCTGAGAGATAACTGAACCATATCTCAGGTATATACTCTATCATCAAAAGAAAGCAGCTTTAAAGTTTCTCAGTGGTTATACCACTGAGAAAAATGGCACTCACCTCCAAGCCAGAACTAAGCAAGTAGTCCCTCCATGGGCTCTTGCCCCACACATTAGTGCTAAGTGAACCCTCCCATCAGAGAAGCTTCTCTTTGCAGTGGGCAGCAATTAATGCAGAGACTCATAACTGGTCACAGTGCTGAGAATAGGGGATTGTCAAGTGCTTGGTTCTCCAGTAAAGCTCAGAAACATCGTGGAAGAGGGTCAGAAAAATGTAAGAGGCAGAGGATGGGGTGGGGGGGCTGTGAGCTTGTGTCATATGGACAAGACATGGTCACTGCACCCATGAACTCACACAGTTGTGGTTATCTTCACGAGGCTTACAGAAGTTTAAGCCTGTCAAAATTCCACTCTCATGGGGAGAGATTCATAAGGTCCTCATGGCCCCAGAGGAGTTCTTGAGAGTCAATGGCTGATGGAGGAAGGGGGTCATTTTTTCCAGTGGTGTAGCTGCTGGTAAGTTGAGCCCCTACACTGGAGCTCATGAAAGCAGCCCTAATTCATCCCCAGGGGTCACACATATACACAGTCAGGGAAAGTGGAGTAAGAAGCATGGTTAATGGGAAACAGGAGTTCATCAAGTGAGAGAGAGAGGGATGAGAAAGGGTGATGAGAGTGGCTGATACTGACCAAAATTCACTGATGCTTATATGAAAGTAATTGTCAAGGGGGCAAAAGGCACAAACAGGAAAAAAGAAAGGCAAAGCACCAGCAAGAATCATGGCTGGCTTTTGAAATGGACAGAAATAAACAGAGATGCCATAAAAAGGAAGGAAAGAAGAAAACAGGCTTTAAATCAAGAATCCATCACCAAATAGAGTCCGAAGCTTGTGTAACTCAAACACATAATATTTAACTCTTTCAATTAGTCACACATGTCACAGTATGTCACACATGGGCATAGAAAGTGTACCATAGGTTCCCATTAAAATTACTAGGTGTTTGGTTGCCCATAATGGTGATAATGGTTTCCTGTAATAATCTTGTTTATGACCCTCCATAAGAAGGTTGTTTTCAAGTGATTAGGGAAATTTGAGCACTTAATAATACTTAACTCAGAATTTATAGGTTTTACCCGAGTTACAAAATTCAGCTACAACAAGTGTGTGTCCTGTGCACCAGACACTAGAGTGACGGCCTGGCGGCCTCTCGGCAACTATTTCCAGCCCACACAGAGAAACTTATCCTCACTTCAGCTGCAGCCAGTGATGTCACCTCCATCAGGTTCACCGCTCGGAAAGCAAACACGGCAGCTGCCAGCACTGCAAAAGAATGAACACTATTTCAACTGCTGGCCTCCGCAACAGCCCAGACACGCATGCTCCACCTGCAGCCACCACAGAAAGCCGAAGGAGCGTGGCAGCTGTTCCCCTGCCCTCTGCCCTCAGGAGTCATAAGGAGAGGACATCTATTCTAGAGAACACTGCCTGGCCACTTCACGGAGTGAGTCCCTTAGCGTGGGAAAAGGAAAACTGGGTGGTCCTAAAAAGTCATTTATAAGTGATTTCTCTCACACCTGCAAGTAGCATTGTAACTGTGGAAATGCATGGCACTCTGAAGGTGGTCTTAGAAATCACAGTTCCTTTTGACACAGGTATTTCTAGTACATGAAATTGAGAAAGTTACATGAAGTTACATTTTAAAAACTCATGTGTTTGAGGGAGGTTTCCTGATATAAACATGACCACAAGACCATTTAAAAGTGATTTTATAAGTATCTTGTTATATTTATATCTTTATGTACTCATTATTGACTTTCTTGGTATCACAAATAGTTCTATGCAGAAGGCTGTTGAGAGGCTAATCTTGATATTTACAATGCTAGCTACAAGAAAAGTAAGTTGCAAATTTGAAAACGTATAGGCCATTTGAAGTTTAGTAACAGACATTAAGTAGAAAATATTGGGATTCTTTGCTTCTGTTAAACACACACGAGAAGGGCCAGGCAAGCATGCACTGGTTAGCAATATAGGAATGACCATGAAACTCTATGCAAGTGATGAGCCGTGGGGAGCAGAGGACCCATATACTAGACATGCAACGCTGGTGAGAAAAAGGAATTGCTTGGAGAAAACGCCTCCCTCTACAGTTTTCCCCATGGTCTGACATGGCAGTGCACTCCTCTCCTTGAAAGCATTGAAGTTGGGGGATACATGGTAATGGAACATTAAACATGATTTGGAAGACTGCTTACTGGGTGCACTGCAGTCAACACAAACCTTTGTAAATGATTTTACTATGGGAAAAAGCATGGCAGCTAATACCACGCTCTGTGCATTAAGTACTCTGATCAAATACATTTACTAGTGTAGGAACTGAGACATGGTGAGTTGACAGACATGTTTTTGATCATACAGGGAGAAATAGTAGAGCTGATACTAAATTAAAATAAGTCTGCTGCAACTATTCACCATGAAACAAGGGATATGGGAGATCTGGATCAGAAGAGTTTCTCTTTAACTGAAAAGAACAAAAAAGTAATGTAAAGCAATGAGACATTATGCTTACAAGAGTATTAAGTCCATTTCTGTAGGCCAACAATGTTTACAGCTTCCCACTATCTGGAATCCTATTTTGGACAGTGGAAACACTTCGGAAGCTAAGAAATATGATTCCCACTTTCATTCCTGTATATAGTTGAACAGTTGGCTGAAAGCTTGACAGGATGTCCAAATATTGTGCTGTAGCAGGAAAGAGTCTGAGACGGTGGTCAGCTGCTGGTCTAAGGTAGAGAAGTCCACTGATTGAACGCGGCATCCAAATGTGTGCTCATAGCCTTTATTTATCTTGGTGTCACATCACTCAAGTGCCTTTCCGTTTGCTTCATGTTGAGTTTGTTCAGCCCTTATGCACAGAATAGGGTTGCTTGCCATGGAGAGAGACCTATATACTTTGGAGTAATCTTAACTGAAATCATGCTGCATAGAAATGTGGAAATTGTTGTGCTCACTTTGGGATTTTTACAACTATTCTCACTACTTTAATCTTAATAAACTCTATGATGACATGAAGATACCTCTGAAACTCTTCTTTAGTGGTCTGTAAGTCATTGTTAAAGACAGACATATTTATGAAAAGATTTCTTAAGACTCTATAATAACATATTTGGTATAAAAAGGTGGTTCTTAAGTATCTGCATCAAAACTGTATGACATATTGATGGAAATCTGTGTATCTCTTCATGAAATGATCTATTATTATGGACTTTTATCTGAATTCCAGGGTTGAGAGCTCCCAACACTCCAGTTTCATTTGTCAATGTTTTAAAATTCTTCTGCGAGTTTTGAGAGCATCCAGACAAGCGAATGGATGCACTATACAAATTAGTTTCTGCCTCTGTGCCAGTCCATTTTTAATCGATGCACTGAGCTAACAGAGGACCTGGTATAGAGCACATTCAATATTCCACACTTCTCTCTCCCTTTCCGTTAAGCTAAGGCAGTGATGAGGAACAAAGTCATAGAACTTAAATCAGAAGAGTTCTGGAAGGTTCCCTAAGTCAAAGCTCTTTCACATTAAAACTTTTCCACTTTCCAGGTGACGAAGTTCACTCTACTCAACTCCTCTCTGAGAAAGCACTTTCTCCCACTGAGATTCCTCCTAAGCTCACACACTATTTTCTTTGAAATGACAGCAAAAGCTGAGGAGTACAATCTTCAGAGTTTCCAGTATACCCAAATGAGACTAACTTGATGAAGTCTAAAATCCAGACATTTGTGAAATGGTAGCAGAAAACCAGACTGGTTAGTCTGGAGAATAGAGACTCCAGGGAAAGATAGCAGAAAGAAAGTAGAAAAAGCATGAAAACTTCTTGGGGCATATTTGGAGCTGTAGAGATGACTCCATGGTTAGGAGCACTTGCTGCTCTTTCATATGACCAGACATCAGTTCTTAGCACCCAGGCAGGGTGACTCATTAACTTCCTACAATTCTAGCCTCCATGAGATCAAATGCCCTCTTCTGGTGTCTGTGGGTAACTACATACACATGGCAAACATACACACACACAGACACACACACACACACACACAATAATAAGTCTTTAAAAAGAAAAAATGGATGCTTTTAACATTTATTTTGTATGTGTACACATATGTATGTGGTGAGTGTGAGTGCCACAGTGCACATGTGGAAGCCATGGTATGTGTGTCAAAGTCAACTAGTGGTTCTCTCCTTCTACCATGTGGGTCTTGGAGATTTAACTCAGGTTGTCAGTAGGCATTTTTACTCATTGAGCCATCTCAAAGGCCCTAGAAGGGCACATGTTAGCCATATCCATAAAGAAATGGGTCCTCTGAAAGGGCAGGATTACCTAGCACTTAAGTACAGAACAGAGGCTAGGGGCAGTTGGTCAGAAATGTCTGAAAAGCTAGAGGACACTCTCGGGCATTCTTGCATTCCTTGATGATGTGCCGCTGCCCTTTACCTGAGATGAGGAGGGCAGACTGTTTTTCCCTAAAGAGTTTATATGAGCTTTAAGAAAAATGACAGAAGGACACTGCGAGTTGTTAAAACATCAATCAATGACAGTTTGGCTGCACCTGAGGTGACATTTATCTTTATGTACTTTATAGCTATTCTTCTTTCACCTTTCCAAATGTCACCCAAATACTATGGGTCTCTGGCATTCAAGGAAATGTTAATATGGTACCCAGAGAATACTTTTGACACATTATTTTTCTAAGCCTTATTTCCATAATATCCCAGAGAGGTTATTTTAATAGCAAAGGAAGGAAGCAAACAAAACATTGCCAGCTTTTCTGTACCCCGTATGTTGTTGCAGAAATATCCTATTTGTTACTTGAATTTTCTAATAATCATGGTGATTAAGTAACTGAGTCATCAGTGCACTAGGGGTGCTGAACAAATAAGAAATATGTACCTGGTATGTTACGGCATGACTGGTATACATCTGCTGTATAAACTGCTCAATCATTAACAATGGCTGGATCTGTGGCTTCCTTTAGTAAAGGAGGAAATGCCTCTTTTTTTCCCATGAGAGAATACTTAAAAGAAGAAATTTGGGCACCAGGGTAGAAGCCAGAGACTACGAGCAAAAATGAAAAGGCTTGGAATCCAAGATAAACTGCAGTCCAGAGGAGAAGAGCTTTGAGATATACAGAAGTGGCCTGGGACAGAATGTTATGAAGCTCATGAGTTAGAGCAGAAGGCAAGTATATCTGCTGCACATACCTCACAGAGACTAGGAATAGACTGGTGCAGAGCAGTTTGATGGATGAATCGAAAGTGCAGAGTTTCAGAACCTGTCTTCTAGGCCTGCTCAATCTATGAAATGTTCAATGATGAATGAAGTCCCGTCTCTAATGACGGTAGTGAGTGTTAGACAGGAAGGGCACTTCATGTAGAAACAGCATGGATTTCACAAACAAACATTACTCTTACCAGCAAGAATTTCCAGAGAGTTGTATCCTAGGATTCTATCCCACAAAAGCAAGAGTTGATCTGTAGCTAAGTATCCAGAAAAAGCTCGAACCATCCATTTAAATGATATACGGAGTCTGCAGACAAGAAAAATAAGAATTAATTGTGTTGTTAGAGCCTTCCCTCAAAAAAGGCAATATCAGAAGAATCCAACCAATTTTGTCTTTATTGTAAATCTTCTGAGACTCCTCATTTCCTAAAAGCTGAAAAGGGTCAGTGATAGGAAGGTGGGTCTTCAATTTGATGTTCCTAGACTACTAAGAGGAAGAACTGTGTATGATGGAGTTCATGTTTATAACCATCATACACTATAGTTTTTCAGAGGGCAATCTACCCATCATCTCAGTCAAGCTGTTACATGGGGTGGAGAAAATAAAGTAAAGCAACAAGAAGGAAATCTGGAAGAAAAGTAGTTTAAAACAACAACATACCTCAGGGTTCTTATTTTAAACCCTTTGTTTTAATGAGGAGGTCATAAAATCCAATTCAACTGAATTCATTCCACTACAAAAAGTTCAAAGATGTATGAGATCCCACTTTTATAAGTCATTTATATTATAATAACAGTTTTTCCACAAATTCAGGAATGAATCCTGTGGTTTTAATTCCATAAGAGATAAACAAACATCTCACATTGCTGTATTGTCTATGAGCATCTAAAAATCACTTGACTGCACCTGAGAGGTCACAGTCAAATTCTTTGTTGAATTATTCTAGATCCTCATATGACCAAGGATTAGTCAGTAGTATTCAAAAATTAAGCCATTTGACTGGTTTAAAATCAAACAAAAGAAAACTTTGTCCATAAAAATTTTAATACTGAAAAATACATCTAAATATTAAACTCAATCATTTTCATTTTACTCAAATTCTCAGTGTCTTGAGGAAGGAACAGTGTCTCTTCCCATAGAGATAGCACAGAAATAGCTTTAAAAGCATAAAGTTTATTGAGGGATGATTTAGCATAGCAGAACCTACCCTTGCACATACACAGTTCCATGAGTTTTATAAGAAGAATGACAAGATGAAAATTGCAGAATTGAATATGCAGAATCGAATAATATAATAGTTATTTGAAAAAGATGAAACATAATGATAAAACCTCCAAGATACTGAGTAGGTCTGTTAGCAGATTGAAATGATCAAGGAAAGAGTCAATTATCTGCATATGTCAATAGAAATATGGTCTAAAGAAGTCTACAGTCCCAGTCCCAGACAAAATGAATGGAAAACCAAATAACAAAAATTAAAACAGACACAGAAACAAAAGTATATACACAGCTTCAAGCATCTTGACAGCAGGGTGGGCTGGGGGGCAAAACTGAAAGCATTGACATGGTGTCATTGTAACCCAGAAGAAGAGGAGAGTAAGTGTGGTGCACAAAACGTATCTGGAGGATGGTAGCTAACCAGAAAGTTCCACAATATGACAACAGACATCAAGTCATAAGATGATCAACAGAGTCCAACAAAATCAACTCAAAGAAACCTAAGTCTAGATACATGTAATCAAGTTGCTGAGTGGTAAAGATAGGAGTCTTGATAGCAACCACGGAAAAGAAGGTTTGAAATGATCCCACTTGAGATGTTCAGTAGAATTTCAAGCAGTTCAGACACCCAAGCTTAGAATTTGGTTAAAAGTGGAATGTATTCTTTACTGATGAAATTCTGTGAAACAGGAGGCACCTACCAAAGATCATTCATCAATAGCACAAACAAATAATGAATACTGCATATAAACTGGGATAAAATGTGCTCAGTTTTTAAAAGTAGGCAGAAGTAAATGAAAAGAAAGAACACAGGAAACAGAAAATTCTATCAAGATAGATTTCAATTGAATGATACCAATTATGTTAAATAATAAGTGGTATAAACATACCAGCTAGAAGACAGATCACTATATAGGAAGACTTAACTATACTTTGACAAAAAAAACCCACTTGAATATTAAAAGCATTGATAATTGATATATTAAAATAGAAAACATCAAGGAATTTGTAATTAGGAAAAAGCTGCCACAGCTGTACCAGTATCCAGTATAATAGACTTATGGTCAGGAATTGAGGGCAATAATTAGGTCAAGCTTATTAAAAACAGAGATTCAAGTCATATATAATAATGAAGGAAGAAGACATCCACACTTGTATATAAAGACAATATTGTACAATAATTAAGAACAAAAGAAAACTGACAAAGATCTGAATAAAAGTAGAAAGAAGGCTTTCCAACATGGGTTGACTTATTGATGTTTACAAACTTCTGCCAGCTATTCATGGAACACAAACCCTGCGCATGCATGTGTGTGTGCATATGTGTGTGTGTGTGCTGATGGTTACAGAACAACTTTTAGGAGTTGGTTCTTGTCTTCCATTTTCATTCTGAGGGTCTCTGGCTGTTTTTCTTTTTTCTTTTTTTTTTTGGAAATATTATTTAATTAATTTATTTATTTATTTTTCAGTTTAAATTTAGATAAGAAACAAGGTTGCTTCACAAGTCAGCTCCAGGGCCCTCTCCCTTTCCCTCCCCTCCTCCCGTGCCCTTCTCCCAACCCCCTCCCCCATTATCCCCTCATTTCCCCAGGGAGGGTGAGGCCCTCCATGGGGGTGTGCATAGTCTGTCATTTCATATAGGGCAGGGCCTAGACCCTTCCCCAAGAGTTCAGGGTGAGAGTGCACCTCACATTGTTCTATGGGAGTCCAAAGTCCGTGTGTATACTCGGGATGGGTACTGATCTGCTGCCCAAGGCTAATGCTTTGGTGTGTGCTGCAGCTCCATAGCTGATCTGCAGATTCCTGGTGTAGTCATCTCTTTCTGCCTCCCATGTTGCCACAGTAGTGCTGGGATTGCAGATACAAGCTACAATATTCAGCTTTTCATGTAGGTCCTAGGTATGGGAAGTTGGGTTGTCAGGCTTGAGCATCAGATATTTTTTTTAAGCACAGAGCCATTTCCTTGGCCTAAGAACATAACTTCTTTTCAAGTGGATATGCAACGTTTGTCTTGATAGATTATATTTGAGCCAAAACCAAACATTAAAAAATTCAAAGCATATGAAATGTGCTAACAGCACACTGAAAACAGAAAGCAATAGTAGAAGAAAATCTCCAACCTTTCCAATATTCAGAAAGTAATATTGCATTAAAAAACTGAAGTGGGATTGAGGCAGGGTTTTTCTTCATAGCCCTGGCTGTCCTGGAACTCACTAAGTAGACAAAACTGGCCTCTAACTTATAGAAATCTGTCTGCTTCTGCCTATGCTCTGGCCTGCCTCTGCCTCCCAAGTACTGGGATTAAAGGCCACCATACCCAACTCAAATTTGAATCTTTATAATAAAATGTTTTTCATACATTTTGATCATATCTTTCCCCTTCTGTAGGGGTGAGCCCACAAAACCCTTCACACCCATAAGGGCGGGGATAGGAAAATTTAGCACAGGTGAGGATAAGAGGAAGTGAAAGAGAAAATGAAGCTCTCTTTCTCTGGAAGTCTGCCACGCTTCTGCCCCCCAGCTTTTATGTAAGTTCTTTCTCTGGTAAATAAATATATTATATTCCATATTGCATTGGCCTCCCGCTTCTCCCTTCTCTATCCACCTAAATGTTTTTTAGCTGTCTTAAAAACCCCATCAAACCCCAAACCAAACCAAACCAACAACAAATAACCGAGAGTGTGTTTTGGGTTGGTCAACTACTTCTGGGCATGAAGCCTGTCTCGATGTGTGCTTGCCATATCCAGGGTTATTCCATTGAAGAAAACTTATTTTCCGTCTCAGCAGGGGCCAACTGTAAATAGCTTCTTGGTTAGGGGAAGGGTTTTGGGTTCACTTCCCCTTCTCTGTGCATATTGTCACGGTTTCTGTTCATATGTGAATCAGCCATTTAGTATCTGGAAGACACTTGGAGTCATGAGCCAACTCTGGCTATTATAACTTTTCAACCTCCTTTTCAGATACATCCCTGACCCTTGACAGAGGGGATGGTGAGATTGATGGAGACATCCCATTAGGGCTGAATGTTTCAAAGATTCTTCAATTGTGGGTCTGTTGATTGCCATTTGCTGTAAGAAGATTCTCTGATGAGAGATGAGGGACTCACTGATTTATAGGAATATAAATATATTGTTAGGAGTCATTTAATTGCTATATTCATTTAGTAGAATAATAGTGGTAAGTTTTTTTTCTAGGGACCATTACTTATCTAGTTCTTGTTAGCAGTTAGTTAGTTCTGTGTCTGTTCTTGGACTAGTTAACAGTTCCAGGTATAGACTGCATCTCATGGAGTAGGCCCTAAATTAATAAAAAGTGGATTAGTTACTCCCATAACATTTGTCCACTATTGTACCAGTGCGTATATCTTATAGGCAGGTTGCTATTGTTGCTCTCAGAGTTCATAGCTGGCTAATACTGATGATTATTTGTATATAGTACCTTCTAGGACTGTGAATGCTAATCAGTAAGGGTGAAGCTTCTAATGGAAGCATGAGCTCAGTTTCTCCATAAACATCACAGTTTTTAATATAATTGATGATCAAATAGGAAGTCATAAAGGAAATTAAACGTTTCTAATTGAATGAAAATGAGATGATAACATATCAAACTTTACCAGGTAGAGGTAAAATGGACTTTGAGAGAAATCTATAACATTACTCCTTGTATCAAAAAGGAGAGAATGTTACCTTAAATAAGAGCAAAGTAAACCCAAAGCAAGAGTAAGGGGAAAAAGGAAAAGCAGAAGTGAGCATAACTGAAACCATAAAACAAGAGAAAACTCAGCAGAACATAAGTCATTCTTTCAAAGATGACTAAAGTTAATAAATCTCTAGGCAGAAAAATAAACAAAAAGAGGCAGGGCAGGCCCTGTTGAGCCTGATGAATGGAGTCCTATCCCCATGACCAACTCTAACAAGAGAACAGACTGATGCAAACTGTCCTCTGATCTGCACACACATTCGTGTGCGTGTGCGTGTGCATGTGTGTGTGTGTGTGTGTGTGAGAGAGAGAGAGAGAGAGACAGAGACAGAGACAGACAGACAGAGTACACTAAATAAGTAAAAACAAAACCACAACAGAAGCAGTTCTCACGAAAGCCTTTTAAAAATCAATTTCTACCTGTCTATTGTACTTTTTATACTTCCTCCTGTTGAAGAATTTTAAGCCCCCAAAAATCTATATGTTTTTTGTAGTGACTTAAAATGTATACAATAGATTAGAAAAACTACCAGTATTTTATTTTCTAGCAATGAACTAAACATCTTCATCCCAATTAAAAAACAAAGCCTAGTTATCCAACTTCTAATTTCACAACAGTAGACAGAGGCCAGTGACTTTTACATGCAATATAAATTATTTTTGCCACACTCCTGTATTACAGTCTTGTTTAAGAATAGAATACTTCTCTAAAGAGGCCACAAAACAAAGAGTGTCAATTCTGCCTTATCAAAGGATATTAAGAAGTACTGTGTTTTAGACAACACTTGAGATCTTTCTCAAGTCCAATGGGGCTTCAGAGAAAGGCGATAGAGCGTTCAGATCTGTGTCTTCTATGTCTGAGTCTTGTCTATACTCACTGAAAACAATTCCATAAGGTGGGAATTCTCTTCATTTTGAGATAAAGAAACTGAGTTATCTTGATTTAAGTATAAATGTGAATTCACAGCATGAATAACTACCCGGATGGCACCACTTAATAGGAAGGGGATCTGCAGCTGCGTTACATTTATATCCAGTAAGGTAGGCATTGGCTGTAGATGTGTATGAAGAAGACAAATACCATACTTGGTCCTACAGTCTCAAAGAGTTAATGTCTTTTTTCCATATAGACCTTCCTTAACAGTGCGTGAGGCTGCTTAGAGAGGACAGGAACAAAACTCTAATCTAGACAATAGTATTTAAAAGGAGACAGGCCATTTACTGAGGTCAGAGCTAATCCACACAGTCACATAAATCTACTTACTACTCATATTGAGAACAGTGAAGCAAATGCAAACTTCTGCAAGGAGAAAACACAAGACAACTTCTGGGAGGTGTTCGGGCTGCCTCCCTTTAGTGAAAACAGCAAACTTTAACTGTACACATTTCATAGTTGTGCTCTGATAAATCTAGTCCACACTGACTTAATTTTGGTAACATCACATTCCCTAGGCTCTGTTTCTGTAAACGTTTTCATTATGAACTGAAGTTAGATTAATTTGGTGACCCTTACACCAGACACAGAAATCAATCCCAGTGAACAGGACTTCTAATAGGATACTAGTCATTCTTCCAAGTACATTTTGCTTTCAGTGCTGGCCCCTGAATCCAGAGGCTTGCACATGCTGGACAAGAGCTTTCCCCCTGACCAACTAACCCAGGTCCCCTCTTTTCTTTTTTTCTTTTCTTTTCTTCTCTTTTCACAATGTAGCTGTGCTTAATGGTTAGTACTCTGGAGGGAGAATTGTTGCCTTACGTCCTTGAGGACATATTGTGGCTATTCATGCAGGAAAAGAACAAGAGTGTTGTGTTTCCAGCTTCACCATGGGGAAGCATTGTCAAGATGCAGCGAGGCAATAAAAATACTCACGGTTGAGCTCCAATTTCTCTCAGATGATAAAAGAGCTGGGGAAGATACGTTTGAAGAAGAGTTTCAAACAGCAAGCAGAGTGACACAATACCCTGGGTACAACAATGAGTCAAAAGAGACATAGTTGAGTCTTTAAACATGAACCATGGTAACAAGTCATTTAAAACGGACAATGCATATTAATAGTCTTTGTGAATCAAAACAGAACATGCCAATGGATCTCGGACACTGTATTTAAAGGTAAATTTTATGTCATCATAAATATGCACTTGTTGACATACTAAGCAGTCCCTTTAAATACAACAGACCCCATAGCTAGACAACCCAAGGCAAACATAAACATTCATTACAGAAAACCTGCCACTTTGTAAGCCACACACCATCACTCAGGTCTAGCAGTTAGTTTTCTCTGGATGTGTTCCAGTTTCCAGGCATTTCCTGGTGTTTTTGCCATCCCTGTCCCTCTCTCCCCATGGGTGTCTTTGCCTCCAGCCTCACCCTTTGGGAAAACATTGCCGGCTTTTCTTACTTCTTTGAATCACATCAAGTTCTCAAATAAAAATAATCATTATCAAACAAAAATATCTGATTACTCAGAATAAAAGTTTTGTTTGTTTACTAAATCTACTTTTTTAAAAGGGGAATTATTTGTAAAGTAGAAGTAACCAATTTAAATAACTGTTTTGTTTTCAAGTGTATTTATTCCTTAGCAACTCTGATTAGGGGACTCAGTGATCCTCAAGTTGCTCTTGATAAGGGGGTTCACCCTCATTTTGAGTTTCGAAACTGTCATGGTTTTAAACAGTTTCAGTCTGGCTAAGCCTGAAAATGAGATTACTCAATCAATTCCCCAGTTAAAGAAGGAAAGGGATGGGGCTGGAAGGTGCAGCTAGGTATTGTCCAGATAAATCCGTTTGTGTTTTCAAAGCTCTGAGGCATAAAATGTGTATGGAGCCTGTATGTGCATATGTTTCTGTGTGCTTGTGTGTGTGCATGTGCATGTATATTATGAGTGTGACTGTGTGCGTATGTGTGTATGTTATGAGAATGTGATCGTGACAATGACAACAGGATGGGGAATTATTAATTCCATCTTTCTACTTATTCGAGGTTAAATAGGAATGAAAGATCACAACTCAATCCAATTTTCTCCAGAGAGTCTCAGATGATTTGTTAGCTTATCTGTGACATTCTAGAATTTTCTTAGTTGCCAACTTTCACTAGCAATGCAGGAAGGGCCAAACGAAGACAAAGAAAGTGGAGCCGGAACACATGTTTGTAAATGGAAGAATAAAGACCAGCTGTTTTTAGTAGGAGTCTTCACTGAGCAGTTTGGCTGGCCCGCCTTGCCTTCCAGCAGACAGGTTCTCACAGAGGGGTAGGCAGGCTACCCACAGGAAAACCAAAGACCACTGGAGGAGAAAGCTGACAGAAAAGTAAAGGCTTCCTTGCCAGGGCTCATGGGCAAAAAATAAGTAGGATAAAGAAGTAAAAAAAAAAAAAAGAACAAAAGACTAAAGTGCTGTCAATATAGGAGCTGAATAAATACAAAGAAAACACAGAGCAAAATAACCAATAATCGACCACAATACAAATAAATGCTCAATCTTCATTTGCAAAGATGAAGTGATAATTATAGCAATAATAAAAGGAAGAAAGTAGCTATTTCTGGGCAGAGCACCCACTCAGCCCTCACCTGCTTGCTTCGTAAACTTCCCAAAGCAGCACAGATGATCTCACCAACCTCCCTTCTCAGATGGGGTATCAACAAAGGAGGTAGGCATCTTTGTCAAGGATGAGAATCCAGACAGCCCATGTTTTTTTGTTTTGTTTTTTAATACAGAAAGCTAAAAATCTAGTTAATACAAGATGCTCTCCTCTCTACTCTGCAAAATATTTAAACATCAATTTCTTCTCTCCCATTGATTCCTAAAACATTAATTGAAACCATAAATTAAGTTTCTTCCTTTGTAATTTGAACAGGAGACTTTTTCTTTAAGGAAAAAACAGTTCAGAGTCTGAGTTTTTCCAACTTATGAACTTACGGAAGGATGAGAGGAGATGGAGTGGAGTCTGAAGAAAAAGCGGACGTACATCTCCCGGAATATCTGATACAACTTGTATGGTTCGTGATACAGAAAACACAGTGGTGCAACTAAAAGAAATAATAATTGGTAATACTGCATGGCTAAGGTGTTTAGGATACGTTCATGAAATGCAAAGAACAAAACAAGAAGGTATAGTGTTCATACCCACAGCAAAGTTTGTTGTCATACACACATTGTGTTTTAATGTTGAAAGTTCAAACAACTGCTAAATATTATAGATATACAAGTTATAAGTGGTTAGAATCCCAGCCTGCCATTTAACTGAGAATGAAGTGACAGAGCTAGGTATGCATAACAACGAAGTAACAAAAAAGCAACATCTGTTTCTTACCCTTTTCCTGAGACAAGTGTCATAGCCCCTGCTGGCCTTTACCCGGAGCCCCTTCTGTCCCTCAGCCTCCCAAGTGGAAGTTCCTCATTCTTTTTTTGGATCATCATAACAACTTATTCATTAGAATAATTGTTATTTGAGATTTGTAGATGGAGAAACTGAGGCAAAAGAGAGCTGAGATATTTAACCAAGGCTACAACATAGGCTTGTTCCAGTGTCTGTGTTTTCACCTGTTACACCAGCTTTTTTTTTACACTTTTTATTATATATTTAAATTAGAAACAAGCTTGCTTCCCATGTCTGCCCAGCTCCCTCTCCCTCCCCTCCACGCCCACTCCCTCAGTTCCCCCAGCCTCCCACCCAATCCCCACTCCATTCCCCAGGGAGGGTGAGGCCCTCCATGGAGGATCTCTAGAGTTTGTCACTTCATTCTGGGGAGGGCCCAGGCCCTCCCCAAAGTTACACCAGCTTTTTGTTCATGTGTCCTTGGAGATGTTCAGAACCCCACCCTATAGCACATCTTAAAGGTGACACTCTACACTTTTCACTCTAACCCAGAGCTTCTACAAAAGATGTCATTTTCAGCATCTTTGTTGTTAGTGCATAGGTAGAAAATTTATCTTTGTATTGATTATGTATTCATCAACCTCACTAAATTCATTTATTAATCCTCACAGATTATCTGATTATTCTTTTGGATTTTCTATGCACATAATCATGATATATGATAACAATGGAAGTTTTATTTTCTTTCCAGTATTTATTTCCTTATTTCCTTATCTTGCTTTGTTTCATTGGCCATGACCTTCAAAGAATTACACAATACAAGCGGTACCAAAACGGCATCTTTATCAGTTTCTTAGAGACAAACCTTTTAATATTACTAAGTATAATATTTACTATATATTCAAGTATTATTAATCAGAATAAAGGCATCCCCTCCTCTTCTTAGGTAACAGTTCTTACCAAAAATATTTTTCTTATTAGTATAAATTGTTCATAATGAGTGTCATCATTACATTTTCATATACATATATAGTGAATTTTCATAAAATTCATCACCAGTTACCCTCTGTGACTGCTATCTGCAGAGTGATAACTGCAGATGTTCACAACTCATCAAAAGGATAGAAATGAGCAACAGGATGTCTATATCACCCCCTTGAAGTTTCTGGAAACATCGTGGAAGAATGGGTGGAAAGAATGAAAGAAAGAGTGGAGGAAGCAAGAAGCAGTGGGGAAATAAAGATGAATACAGACTCCTCACACCACAAGGCCATTGCATTCCTCAACTTACAGTGCCTATGACTGCCTACACAAGAGACACACAGGGTCGGCATCTGACTACAGAGCGGAGCAGGATCTCATCAGGCTCAACCCTCCCTGAGGATTTATATTCAGTTAACATGGGGGGAGACATATTCCATTTTCTTCAGTGATGCAGCCAACTGGTAACACGCTCATGTTTCTGTAAAGAACTCCTCAAAGCTATCCTGAGCAAGAAGAACAATGCTGGGAGGTTACCATACCTCAAGATATATTACAGAGTCACCGTAATAAAAACAATATGCTACAGGCACAAAAACAAACATGCAGATGGAACAGTTAGATACTTCTTACTTCTTCCATTTCTTATTTTAAGAACTCTCTGTTCAGATTCCTAGCCAATTTTTGAACGTGTCTTTGTTTGTTTGTTTCTTGACTCTTTGTTCTTTAATTCTTCCTCCAAATATGAGTACATGTAACTACAGCCAACTAATATTTGACAAAGATGTCAGCCAGACACATACATTGGAGAAAAGACAGCATCTTCAACAAACGATGCTGGGAAAACTGGATGGCTATGTGACTGAAAATAGATCAGATTCTATCACTTGGGGGAAAAAACTAACTCCAAATGCATCAAACACCTAACTATGAAAGCCGAAAAACTGAAACTGTTAGAAGAAAACATAAGCAGTACCCTACAGGACTTAGGTGAATGAATGGACTTTTTGAATAGGACCTCATTTGCCCAGGAATAAAGTCCAGCAATTGATAAGTGAAAACTTACAAAAATAAAAGGCGTTTACACAGCTAAAGGAACAATCAAGTGTAGAGGTGACCCAAAGAAAGGGAGACAATCTTTGTCAAAAGTAATCTGACCGATTGATATCCAGACTATATAAAGAACAAAACAAAAAGACATTCAAAGAATGGACTAGGAATCTAAACAGAGTTCTTAAAATAAGAAACATCTCAAAAGTTTACCTTATCCCAGTCAGAACAGTGAAGATCAACAAACAACAAAACAAAAAACAAATAAAAAAGACATTCAAAAAATGGCTTAGGAATCTAAATAGAGTTCTTAAAATAAGAAATATCTCAAAAGTTTACTTTATTCCAGTAGGAATGGTAAAGATCCACAAAACAATTAATAAAAAGTACAGGAGAGAAAGTTGAGAAAAGGGAACTCTCGTTTATAACTGGTGAGATTACAAACAGGTCCAAACACTCCAGAAAACAATGTGCAGAACTCTCAGAAACCTAAAACTCAATCTACCATATAACACAACTATACCACTCCTTGACAAATGCCCAAAGGACTGGACATCTTACTTCACAGAGAATTGTTCAGCCATACTCACTGTTGTTCACAATGTCTAGGAAATGGGGAGAAAACTAAATTCCCTTCATATGATGGATAATGAATGCGGCAAACGCACACCATGAAATACTATTCAGCTGCAAAGAAAAGCAAAATCATGAACTTTACAAGTAAATGGATGAACTAGAAAAGATCATATGGAGCACCGGAAAGACAAGTATTGTATGTTCTTTCCCATCTGTGGCTCCTAACTCTAAAATATCAGATGTGATCCTATAATCTCAAGTAATGACAGAAACTAGGAAAGTAAAAAGGGATCAGGAGAGATGGAGGAGGAACAGAGAAGGAAAAAGCGTGGTACAAGTGATTTGAAGAGGAAAACGAGAAAAGTGTGTGAGGGGCTACTTAAGAGTGGGGGAGGGTTGCCAATACAGAAAGAGAGGGAAGGAAGAGGGTAAAATAAAGGTAAGGATGGCTAGAAAAAGAATCATATTATGATCTATTCACCTGGCATTTCATATGATACATGTAAGTTTATGTGTATGCATGTATAATGTAAATGATATTTTCCCATCTGGGCTGACAGTGAGCCAAAGACTAACAGAAACCCCAACACCAGGCATGAGAAGCTCCCTTTCCAGTTGTTGGGTGATGTTAGATCAAGATACTCCCCAAAATTGTTGCTACTAGTTACCTCCCAGAAGTTGAAGGTAAGTCCCTATTGCTGAAGACACCACGCACTTCCGACACAGGTCTTAGATGATGCAATCTGGATTTATCCTGAAAGTCTTTTCCCTGAGGTTTAGATTTCAGTAAACCATAAGGTGTCATATAAGCTTTCAAGGGTGGGAAACAAATAATTGTTTTACCTAGCTATGATGCCTATGAACTCCAACAATCAGTACAGCAAAATAATGCTGAGAGTACAAAGGGGCATGCACGTCCTAGCAGTAACTACAAAACAAGAGAAAAATCATGCCTGGTACTGGAAATCTAGTAAACCACTCAAAGCAGTGAGATCCTGGGTGCTGGAGGAAAGGCTATACTTGACACTTTATTAAACCAGAAAAATCCCTAACTACATTCTAAATATTTCTCCTTATATCCACAGATAGGTATGATTCTCACCTCTCACCAAAGAAATTTCTCTTTGCAATAGATGGATATTATAATAAAAAACTAAAACAGAGAACAAGTGACAGTGCTACCCAACTTATCCACAACACAACTCCTGCACCTAGGCTCAAGAGCAATTGTAGAAAAGGAGACAGAAAGATTTAAGAGCCAAAAAACAGGGAGTCAGCTATAAGATTGGGTCTCCTAGAAATTTTGGGGAAGCTATCACATGAAAGTTCAACACCATGACTGCCTAAAGAAGATATGAACTAGGATGACACCAATAGACACGACAACATGGAAAGGGCAAATCTCATGGGGCCCTAACCCTAGACAGAGAAATGCAGGTGCCTACAGAATGCTGAAAACATGAGAAACAGTCTTCCTGAGTGAAGAGCTCCCCAACTGGCTATCCAATCCCAAGTGATCAGCCCTAAAATTATATACATACAAGTAATATAGATTGAACAAGCTATAATTGTTTTATTTATATAACAACAATGAAAGAAAATTAGGTCACAAATTTGAGAAAGAACAAGATGCTTATGGGAGGGTTATGGGAGGGACTGAAGCAAGGAGATGGAGTGAGGAAATGGTGTAATTTATATTTTCATATAAAAAAATAAAAAATGTTCTATGCATGTTTATGTGCATATATACAAGAGTGTGCATGTTACAAGCATGTGAAGACTAGAGGTCATATACAGCACACATTTTATATAGAGATACAGTTGAAAACCAGAGAGGAGTGCCCTAAAACTAACATTCAAGACTTACTAAAATACATTGCTACTTATTGAAATAGCCCAAATTAAAACATTCCATATACTTAAAAATCATAATTCATGCCTTAATTGTGATAACAACTTAAGAGAAAACAATGTGATACAAACACATATTAATAAAACTTCAAAATGAAGAATCGGAATTTCCCATTTCCAATGACTAAAGAAGAGGTCATGGATTTAAGGGGAGGAGTGGTATGGGAGGAGTTGGAGGAAGAAGGGCATAAACGATGTAAATATGGTATGAAATTCTCAAAAATTATTTTTATTAGTAAAATATGCAATCTCCAACTGAAGATTTTATGGATTCTGAGATTACTAACAATCATTCTAATGCAGAGGTGAAGAATTAACTTAAATATATTTCCATAAATATAAATAATATGAAAACTTCTACACCACAATATTTTGTTGAATTTCCTGAGAGAATAACAAAACAGCAAAGCATCAGTTACATATGATATGTAATAAGCAAGCATGATCCATAATTTCATGCATATTTCCCTACTTGGTTCTTTCATAAAAATAACTTCACATATATGGTCCCCCAGAGAAGGGGATAGGGACAATTTACTCATTAACTTTTAAAGCTACATAAATGTGTGGTGGAACTTTACCAATGAGATTATAATGTTCTATACACTTATAAGACTGTGAATCTATATGAATGAGGATCGGAAGGCAGTTTAAACTAGTAAGTTTTGAAGGAATTTTAAAAACAGATAAATATTGTAATTTATAAAATGAAGAAACTGAACTGGCAAAGTGCTAACTACTTTGAGATGGTTTGATGTTCTGGAACACTGGTGCTGTTAACTGGCTGCTGCTAATGTATCGTGGATGCCTCCAGTTTCCTAATGCAGTATATGTGAACTCTTCATCAAATATTTTACATCATCTATTTCCTTATGAAACATTTTTCCCTTAGGTGTATCCGTGTTAGCAGACTTAAGGGATCATGAACATGAATGGGCAGAGTCTGACTACTAAAATCTTCCAGATGTTTAACCCTTCATGGCATTAAGTAGACTTCAATTCACTTGTGTATACTAAACTATTTTACTGTAAATGTTTTTGTTTTTCATGACAAGGTTTTTGTGTAAGAGCCCTGGCTGTCCTGGAACTCACTCTGCAGACCGGGAAGGCCTTGAACTTACATAGATCAGTCTGCCTCTGCCTTTCGAGTGCTGGAATTAAAGGCATGTACTACCACCCAGTGGAAGTAATTTTTAAAGGAAAGATATTGGTATATTGCTGGCTTGTGTTAAAAGGGTAAAATATTAAAAAATGTTATCTACTTTATGGGAATATAGTAGATGCCCTAAGTTTAGATAACTCATGAGCACTCACAAATTAAGTGACATTATGAGGTATGAGTTCTTCCTCTTGCCAATCTTTGTTAAACATTTACTATTCCTCATTCAACGGTCTCAGAATTCTCCATCCTGTATGTGCATTTTCCTAAGGATGAATGAATGCTCCAATAGAATCAATAGCATGTATACCAAGAGTCTAGAGACATCATGTTGTCCCTTCCTTCAGATTTTTTTTCTGACATGATAGCTTTTAGAAGACTCATGAGGGCTAGTCCAAAAATTTATGCAACCTGATTTTGAACCTACTAGAGTTATATATTTTTAATGAAAAAGCTCACAAAAATACTACTGAATTTATTAGGTATTGGCCAATTACTCCTAGACATGGGGCCTACCCTGAAATGTGGCTGATAACCAGTGACACTCCATTAGAGGATTTTCCCTTTGCCAGGAGGTATTAATTGCAGATAGCTTGTTGGTAAGGGCTGGGACCCAATACTGACTTTCCCTTCTCAATGCTGGGACCCCATAGGCCTGTGTGTGTTGCCACAGTCTCAGTGAGTTTATATGTACATCAGTCTTATTGGAGTTACCATTCACATCTGGCTCCTACAGTCATTCTGCCTCATCTTATGCATGCATGGGCTTTGAGGTGAGGGGTTTTGTGAAGAAATTCTATTTAAGATTGAGAGCTCCAAGGTCTCTCATTCTCTGCACACTGTCCAGTTATGGATCTCTGTGTTAATTCTCATCTACTGAGAGAACCTTCTCTGATGAGGACTGTGCAAGGCACTGATCTATGGGGTACAGAGTATACCATTAGGAGTTATCTTATTGCTATGTTCCTTTAGCAGAATAAGGTAGTGGGCTTTCCTCTAGGCCTATGATCTCAGGTTCTTGGTCACTTAATAAGTATCAGGTAAGGATTCCATCTTATGGAATGGGCCTTAAATCCAATCAAAAAGTGGTTACTTTCTCCCTATGGAAAGAGGAGGTGGAAAGAGTGCAAGAGTCAGAGCGGAGCACCAAGAAAACAAGTACCTCAAATCAGCATGAACAAAGCTCATATGAACTCACAGAGGCTAACGCAGCGTTCACAGCGCGTGCACCAAGCCCTCTGCGAGTATATTATGGCTTCTAGCTTAGTGTTTTCATGGATTTGATTCCTGAGTGTGAGAACAAGTGGGTCTCTGATTCTTGTACCTTCTTTGGGGCTCTTTTCTTTCTCATGGTTTGTCCTGCCAACTTTAATGTGATAGTTTTTGTTTTATCTTATTATATTTTGTTATATGTTAATATCATCTCTAAGATGTATGTTATTTTCTAATGAGAGACAGAAGGGGAGTTGATCTGGATAGGAGATGAGGTGAGGAGGAACTTGGGAGAGAAGGGAAACTGAAATTTATCAGGATAAATTATGTAAGAAACTATTCACAAAAGAGTGGTTGGCTCCTCCCATAACATGTGTGCCACTAGTGCACCACCACATCTTACAAGCAAGTTACTGTTGTGGATCAGACAGGGTGTAGCTGGGTGATAGTGATGATTACCTTTCTTCTCTGACAGTCTGAAGGGTACCGTCCAATGCAATAATGTCGTCATTATTGAAGCTTCTAGTTAGGCACAGATCAACATTTCCATGTTTGATGATTTAGTTAACTGTTGACTTCAGCAATAGGGCCTTACCACCATCAGACTGTGGAGAGCAACCAATAGCCTTAGCAATTTCCTATTATGTTTGGGGGTTTCCATGGAGCTCCTTCGGCCAATGAAGCAACAAGATGTAACTCATTCTTGCACTGAAGGGTTTACTTGGTGACACAAGATGTCTACTTGGTACACTATCTCCCCCATCATTTGGTGACTCCATTTATATTTCTTTCATGCAAGTCTGTGTATACTGCATAATTTAAAGTGTATTGATTTATATACTAAATTTACATCTATAAATTAATTTATTATATAAAATAAATATTCAACATAAATATATTTATGTGTATAAATATATATGTATGGATATTTCAGAAATTCTATAATAGTAGGTATCCATATGGTTTTTCAAATGGCCTTTAGTATTAATTGTCCCTCCCCATATTCCTTCCTTTACTCTTTTCTCCCATCCCCATCCCTATTTAATTTTCCTATTCTAGTTTCCCTTTGACTCCCCATAACACTGTATTGGAGATTCTCTCCACCCTAGCCCCTTACTAGTCACCTGACCTGTGTGGTTATTCGGATTATAGCATACATATTGAGGCTTAAAATTTAACATCCACATTATAAGGGAAAATATACAATGTTTGTTTTTTGATGATCCTTCTGCATACAACCATTTACCTACTAAATTCATAATTTTCTTTTTCTTAACAACTGAATAATATCCCACTGTGTAAATATACCACACTTTGTTATCTACCAGTCAAAGAACATAAAGGCTGTTTGCAATTTCTGGCTACTATGAATACAGTAGCAATGAACATGGATGAGGAAGTGTCTCTCTGTAGTAGGACAGTCCTTTGGGTATAGCAAGAATGGCATAGCTGAATTGTGAGACAAATCTATTCCAGATTCCTGAGGAATCACCATCCTTACATTTCCATAGTGCTTGTACCAGTTTGCACTCCCACCAGCATTGTATGAGTGTTCCCCCTTGCCCCACATCCTTACCATTATGAGCTATCACTTGTTTTATTGATCTAGGCCATTCTGGCTGGGGACTTTAAATCCCAAAGGAGTTTTGATTTGCATTTCCCTCATGGCTATGGATGCTGAACATTTCATAAATGTTTCTCAGCCATTTGTGTTTCACCTTTTGAGAACACTGTTTAGCTCTGTACCTCATTTTTAATTGGGTTGTTTGTTTTCCTGATACTCAGTTATTTTAGTTCTTTATATATTTTAGACAATAACTATCTATCAGATGTATAAATGGTAAGGATCTTTTCCCATTCCGTAGGCTGCTTCTTTGCCTGAAAGACAATGCTCTTTGCCATACAGAAACTTCCCAGCTTCACAATGTCCCATTTATTAACTGTTGGTCTTAGTGCTGGGCTGTCAGTGTCCTGGTCAGAATGTCCTTTCTGTGCCAACGAGTTCAAGCCTATTCTTCCCTTTCTCTGCTATCAGAGGCAGGGCATCTGGTCTTATGATGAGGTCCTTGATCCATTTGGAGTTGAGTTTTGTGCAGTGTGATGAGTATGAATCTATTTTCTTTCTTCTACATGTAGCCATCCAGTCTGATGATCACCACTTGTTGAAGATGCTGTATCTTCTCCAGCGTATATTTTCTACCTTACTGTCAAAAACCAGGTATCCACAGCATGTGAACTTAGTCTATGTCTTCATTTTGATACCCTTAATCAGTGTGTCTGGTTTTGTTCCAGTCCCATGCTGCTTTTATTACTATAATAGAGCTAACTACTAATGTGTCCTTATTTCATTAGACTAGATGGCAATGCTCACAGCAGCCTTCACCGTGTGTTTTAATTCTCATCTGCTGAAAAACCATTACCTGAACAGTTGTGATTTTCAATTAGACATATATAAAAATACTGAATTTAATGTTTAAAATGCACATAGCACTTTAAGTTTGTATGAATGGTGAGATATAAAGTATTACCATTATGTTTCAATTTCCAAAACACTACAAAAGTAATGACTATGTCAAGCCCAACTTACCATACATGGAAAATCCGTGGAAAGGGATTACACCTGAAAAGTAAGAAGAGTATCAGTCACACACCTCTGCCTCATGCAGGAGTTACAGGGTCAAAATTGAAAAGGGAGATGTTTCTACTTTCTCCTGCCGCTTTGAAATATCAGAAAAGACAGTGATAGTAACCAGTAACAATTGTTTTAACACTCTTAGGAGGGTAAACTAGACATTTTCAAACTTGTATCCAAGGCTGAGTAAGCAAGGCATTAGCCATGAGGCGACTGTGGATAACTCCAGCCGTGTCTTCATCTTGGGCAGGGAGTTGGGGAGGAGAGAGCTTGCAAACTGCCCATGTCGTGGACTGTGTGTCCAGTTACGGTAAGAATCGGTTTTGTGATGAACATCCTTTACTGCAGGTGGGTTCTCCCTGCTGAGTCAGAAGGTAAGGCACTGCCTTTGCCTAACCATGACTCTTGGACTAGCAAGGAGTCAAGTTACTATTATCATCCTCAAAAGCCCAGGTTTAAGCTTTAATTATAATAGCATTTGCATCACAGTTTGTGGACTTTTCAATGGGAAGAAATGCCTTCTAAAGGAGATAGGATTCATCATGGTTCGCAAGGGCTAAAAAGGCTACCTTATGCCCATGAATAAGCATACCACAGGCTCCATAAATATTTATAAAGCAGTAAAAACATATTGACAAAGCATATGGTCTATTTGCCCACCCTGCCCCCGCCCCACATTTACGGATTTGGGTCAGCCTGCTCCAATCTCTCTGGGTTATACTATCCCTTTACATTGCTTTGTAAATTAGCTTCTGCTACTCTGTATCTCTCAGCTGGACTCTTTCCTTTGAAAAGACCAGACCTGAAAAGAAATCTTCACCTGATGAGACATCCAAAATTTTTCTATTAAGATGGTAGAGCAAGCAGAACTGAATATACACACTTAGAAAGCATTGGAGCAAGCTGTAAAGGGTGGCCATGGACGAGATTTGAGAACTACTGTGATGATCTTAAAGTTAGTTGATAATTTCCCCCTTACACAACTGCATCCCACCTACTAGAATACAGTCTGCTAAGGATCAGTGAGATTTTCAAGACATTTCTTGTAAACATCACTTTATAGAAACTAAAAGTATTTCATCAGTTTTACTAATAATTCTATCCTGTGAGTGACTTAGGAGACATTGACAGAGCTGTTTTATAAATTCATATAGTATAATCATTGGCACTATAATCATCTACACTGTTTGCAAAGAAAGACTAAAAGCCTAACTTTAGTACACTGAACACTTTGCTATATTCTGTGAAAAATTGGAATTAATATAGCCTTAGTTCTAAACAGAGTGTTTGTAATTTATACTCCTGAATATCTTACAGTACACTAAATCAGTTGACTAATGCACTCTAGAAAAAAATTCAAGTTTATATTTATTTATTTTAAAGTATAGGAATTCTGTGTTCTTCTAACCTGTGGGGAGGAATAAACAAAACAAAACAAAACAAAGCAGTGCCGGGAGGCCGTGTAGACTAAGTTCTAAGAAATTCTAGGTGGTTCTCAGTCTAAAGCAACAGAGGACATGGGACATTTCCAAGGCATCTTTGTAGGGAACAGTTTCTCATTTGGACCAAACTCCAGCTACCTGTAATGTCCTCTTCTCATTCCTAACGCTGACCATGACGGTCACACGCAACATGTCTAGCTTGCTTTCTGTCATACAGGGAAATGTTCAGAAATATTTACTTTCACTCTAGCCCTGTCACAACTGGGTACCCATGGAGGCTCTATGAGGTTCTTGAATTGTTCCTCAGAAAAAGTGACCTGGTTCCTCTCATTTCTTCTCATCTGAAAGTTTAGGACTAAAGCCCCTAAGTGTTTTCCTTCCCACACGCCACAGCTAAGACAGTAGGTTTGAACAGCTGGGTTTGAACCTGAGTAGGGGCTGTACTCTTGTCTGCTCCTTTTCTTCTTTGGTGAACCACTCCAGTAGGAGAGAAATCTGGGTTTGCATTGTTACAGTTCTCTGTGATGCATACTATCTATGTTCTCATCTAAGGCAACACAGGACTGGTGAACAAGCAGGGGCTAGGACAGCAGTGTCCCCAGAAAGCCCCTTTGTGTGGCTGCTCATTAGCCACTGACCTTGTAGTCAGTGAAGAGCCTGATGAGGTAACAGCAGGCTAAGATGGTTATGTCATTTAGGAGCTCTTTGTGTCTTCCAGTAAGTTTCTTAACTTCTGTGAGCTCCAGTTCTCTTATCCACAAATCAGAGAACATGCTAGAATCTATGCTACAAGATTAAATGAGACAATGACTGTGGTTCAGCCATTAAGAGAGAGTTAAAATGCTTGGGTTTGTAATACATGTATACTGTTGATATCAGCAGTCACAAAGCGATGTGATGTTTCTTTGTTTAAATGCAGTTATAATTTTGAGCTGTACACCAGGCACCCAGAAGTTATAGCTCTTAGGTGTCACACACTCTAAGTCTCATTTCTGTCTTCGGTGTCTCGCCTCACAGCACGCGGTTGGTTTATAAGTCATTGGCTACTGTGACTGTTTCTGTGCTTACCAGGGTTCTCCTTATCTCTGTTTGTTTAGCTACTCTGTCCTTTGAAAATGTTCTCACTTTAAACACCCAGCAGACCTTACTTCCCTGCAGGAGAAGGCTGAAGTCACTGGCATGAACTCTGACCTGAGTGCTGTTTATTCTCCACTTTTTCTCACTGCATTCTCAGCGGGAAGACCCCTCCCCTTCCCCTCTCAGACCACTAAATCCTGTTTCCTTAAGATCTCCAGCTGTTAGCAAGCTAATTTCACTCCACAACTTGTTTACATTTGGCGTGTGAGCAGAGAATAGCTTTTGTATTTTTAAGGATTATTTACAAAAACAAATAATTTGGAACAGAGAGACAGTGGCCAGAAAAGCTGAAAATACTGACCAGCTGGCTTGTTACAGAAAACGTCTGTCAATCTTGTTTTGGAATCCTGTCCATCAATTATCCCTTCTCCCCTCCATTATGCATATTGCTCAACAAATATCTGCTAACCTCTAGTGTGTGCTAGATGCTATTCTAAGAACTGTGACTGACCTTGTGTTAGGGAAAAAATCGTAAGTTTCTACATTCCGACAGTGACAAGGACTACCAAGAAAAGTAGCAGAGTGAAGAGGGATGAGGAGGACAGGCAGGCCAGAGGGGCAGAGGAAGCCACACAGGTTGTATAGGTAAGCACTGGACAAAGGTCCCAAAGGCCCTGGCAGTCAGCTGCTGGCTGGGAGAAGGAGAAAAGCTCACAGCTAGTCTAAGGTGGGCAGCAGTGGAACTGTTCTTTACTTCTACTATGGAGGCGCAGAGGCAAGTGTGGTCTCCTAAGTTTTTGTACCTTTAGTTTCCTTGCAAACCTTTCAAAGATCTCTCTCTCTCTCTCTCTCTCTCTCTCTCTCTCTCTCTCTCTCTCTCTCTCTCTCTCTCTCTCTCTCTCTCTCTCTCTCTCACACACACACACACACAGAGAGAGATAGAGACAGAGACAGAGAGAGAGAGGGAGGGAAGGAGAAAGGGAGGGAGGGAGAGAGAGAGACCTATGACTTTTTTACACATCATCATCAAATTCCATTTTCTTCCCCAGACACCCTTACATGATGAAGTCTAGTTTCTGCCTATATGACCCTAACTTCTGATTGCCAAGTCTCAGGTCCCTCTGTCTGCTGGATCTCTCTGTCTGCCATGACTAAGGTAGCTTCTGACACCTGAAACCTCCTTCTCAATCTTAACCTTACCATGGCAATGATGACCTGGGTGCACATCAGGCTGTTTTTCCAAAAACTTCAGTTTATGAGTTTCGTTTGTTCGTTTAGTTTTTGATTTTTCAATACAGGGTTTCTCTGTAGCTTTGGAGCCCGTCTTGAAATTCTCTCTGTAGACCAGAGTGGCCTTGAACTCACAGAGATCCACCCGTCTCTGCCTTCTGAGTGCTAGGATTAAAGGTGTGCGTCACCACCCTCCAGCCAGTTTATGTGTTTTGTTTCCTGTGTTTATCCTGCCATTGCCAATCTCATCTGTAATATTTACTTTCATTCTCTCTCTACCAGAATTCTCATTATTAATCTTTAGTTGAAACGGTGAAATCCAGAATCTTGCCTCCTTCTGGATGCTTTCTCTGAATGCTCAGCACGTCCCCTGGCATGCAGGAAAGGAACCTCTAGGCTATTCCCACTTCTGGTCAGCTGTGCGCTTGACTTCACCAGCAACATCATCCCTTTGCCTACTCTACACACATGATTCTTCCTCCCCAGCGGACAGCATCCCCTTTAGCCTTGTGTGAACAGGGCTATTGATAATGACATTCTCCTCCAGTCCTGTCCCTGACTTACCCATCAAGGTTTTAAAAAAATATATTAGTTGAGAACTTTATATAGTGTATTCTGATCACATTTAGCAACACTCTACACCCATTTACCAACAGTCCTTGACTTCTTGCCCCAAACAATCCATCACAGAGCACTCCTATGCTACTTAACCTGCCCTGACTGAGGCAGCACTATGCAATTCCACCTCTATTGCTGTCTACAAACACAGAGGGATGTCGTTTAAACTATTTGTTCTTCCAGAACTCTCCCAGGCTAAGGGCAGTGACCCTGGGCTGAGGGCTTTATTCTGACTATACCCCATACACAAAGTTCATGTCTCTTCTGAGTAACCATTCTATATTTTCAGGCCAAATTCCCTGAAGCCAGCTCATAAGGCTTACATGTTCTTTTCAGTCCTGATGGATATATACTATAGGACAGGGGAGTGGCCAGGAACAGGATGAGAAGGGTGTGTGTGTACTGTACTCTAGGGACTGCTGAGGAATCAGAAAATCCAAACCTGGCCTTCCGGATTGTTATGAAGGTATCTGTGTCCAGGCAAGAAAATGTTACCAGATTAATGATTTGATTTACAAATTTTAATATTTAGATTTATAATAGGTGGGTCCTTATGGATAGACCAGCTTTCACCTGTAAAGTGTTACCAATGGGATGGTTAGGTAAATAAGATGTAATGCA